CTAAGTTTTGAAAATTTGAATTACCACGTCGATCTTCTGCTATCTTGTTTGTTGTACCTAGTCTAATATGTGAGCATTGGTAATTTCCTAGGATTTTTATATTTTTTCTCAGTTTATTACAGTAAATGTGCATTAAAGTGTCTTTAAATTGGTAGGTACTCATTTTTGTCAAAAAAGCCTCTCCTTGTTCTTGTGACATTTTCACATTTTCAAAATATAGCTACACTTCGAAACTTCTGTTTTCCTACTACGTGTAATTAATTACATTAATGGAGCTCATATTGACTGCGATGGTACTTTAACAAACTGTCGCAACCGTAGCTCTTCCCTTAATCTTCTGCTTTCCTACTTCGTCTGATTATTTTAGTACAGCTCATACATTTGTAGTGTTGTTATTACCGCGTGTATATTCCAACACAATATCATTCGTTTTCAAACTTGGGGGTGGTGTGTCTTTAAATTGGTACTCATTGTTTAAAACTCCGAACCACCTCGCAATGGAGCATGGTCCTTGTGACATTTCCACTTTTCAAAATGCGTATAGCTACACTTCAAAACTTCTGTTCTCCTATTACGTGTAATTACACTATTGTCGCTCATACTGGCTGTTATGGTACTTGAACAAACTGTCACAAAACTAGCTCTTTCCTTAGTCTTATGCCTTCCTACTTCGTATAATTAATTACCTTAGTACAGCATTCATATGAAACCTTAATCGTTGCTTCTTGGCAAACCATCATTTAACCGTAGGAAAGAGGAACACAGGAATGATCAAATTACAGTGTCCAACGAATAATTAAATGTATTGTACTATTGCTTTTAGAGATATCCGGAGAACAGAGCAATGAGAAGTCACGTTTTAGCGCAATGTTACCTTTGGATCTTTAAAACTACAAATTTTCGCCATTTGGAGAAAGCCTATTCTGGCGACTGACCTGTCGCGATTTTTACCACCTTGTCGACCTTCTGCTCTCCGACATGGTGGAGTTATTCTAGTAGATATTACATTTTGGAAATGTTTTTCATTGCAATAACTGACTACTAACTTGTTTCGTCCATTTAGGGCTAAAGGTATTAATTAATCTCAAGTAAGGTTATTTCGGCCTTAGACATACAGGGAGAACATAACAGTTGAGAGAGCAAGAAAATATTTGAAACCCCGCAAGTATCAGCATGGGTTTTCAGCTTGCCCCTTTCCTGTTCTTTTCTCAAAGGTTGGGCGTTTTCACATGTTCGCCATGCTTTGGGGTGTTAACTGCGGTGGGTGCAAAATATGGGTGGCTACGGCACACCTGGTTCTTTCCGCATGTTCTTTAATCATAGAATGACTAATATAAAATTTCTGAGATACCTTTCTTTTGATTGCATTGGAAATATTGATCAAAATCCCTACTTAGATTGGTTCTCTAAATCGAAATGCCGAAGATGTATCGGAATGGTTATGGTCAAAATACTCAATAAGACCAAATACATTGGGTTCACGGAGTATACTTGACTTTCTAGCGTGGTATTTCAAGAAGGAAGTCATATTAGGACATATATTAGGGATAAGCGAGAATCGTCAGTATCGGGTAAACTGGATGTGAATACCACTAGATAGATGCAAGCTCTAATCATAGATGTTCTTACGCTTGTAGCATAAGCAACCAGAACAGGCAATTCTTGTGAGCTCGTATGTCCCAAGATAGTGTCTTTCCAAGTTAATAGTAACTCTCTTTAAAACGCGCAATAATTTTTCAAAGGTGCCCCTCAATTTGACATTCCTACGTTTTGAAAAGTGTTAGTATATCTTTACTCTTCTGGTCTCCTATTTGGCGTAAGTAACATGGTGTACAACTCATATCAGTTTTGATTCACAACTTTTCAAGTAAGATAAATTAAATTTGTAGTAATTGTGTCAGCAAAGTTCTATATTATTTCCCGGAAATTGAAAGATCGACACACATCTTCATTCCTAATTAATAAAATCTCATTATTTTCTTCTGGATAAAATTAGTTTCAAATCCCGTTTTTTTATTCGCAATAACAGGGACAAATAAATTCGGCTATGACTATTGCGTACCTACTACAGTTTTCCGTCTAAAGAGTATTTATATCAGCTAATTCCACAAACTATGTTTGATGCGTACGTCGTACATTTTAGAAAATTCAATTTTTTATTTTATTTATATGTATGGTGTGTCGTTATCGAAAGAAACGATCTTATTGACATTTGCAAATCCGGAGAACATAACAGCGAGAAGAACTCAGCTATTGACACACAACAAACATTAACATCTAGGGCATAGATTTAATTTTCC